AAGCAATGCTGATGGTTCGTCCAAGTGGCCGCTGCTCTTTATTGGAAATGCAAGGAAGCCCCTTGCTTTCCGTTGGCCCAACAACTATGGCAGACATGGGTGTCGAGTACGCCTCGTCAAAGAAGGGCTGGATGACCGGCACATTGTTTGCCCACTGGATTGAAGCTTTCAACACGGCAATGCGTCAACAGAACCGACATGTCTTGCTGCTACTGGACAATGCGTCTCCCCATCGTTATGATGGGCAGTTGTCAAACGTGGATATTCACATGCTTCCGGCCAACACGACGGCATTCCTGCAGCCGCAAGATGCGGGGATCATTCAAGCGTTCAAGGCAAGGATTGGGGTTCTGCGAGCAACGTACCTTGTGGAGAAGTTTGACAAGCTGGTCGCCAGTGCAGACGAGTCCAACAAAGAAAACTTCGGTAGCCTTGTCAACAAACTGCACGAAGTCAGTCTGGTACAAGCGTTGGAGTGGGCGAAGGAAGCATGGCAAGGGGTCACGCAGGAGACAATTGTTAATTGCTGGCGGCACACAGGTATCCTTGATGAAGAAGTGTACGAATTGATTGAAAATATGCGTAACCTTTAATGGAAAGTCAAGTGTATCTTGTCCTTGGTGTGCGTTTTGTCTTCTGGAGGTTGCCAGGGTATCAACCCCCTCCTTATTTCGAATTTGATATCCATTGTTGCATCAGAGGACTTTTGGAAAGTAACATATGCTAATTCAAAGCCAATCATGTGTAAGTCAACCACCCTTTATTTGAATAACTGTCTTCGTCTTCCTGTGATACCTGTAAAAAATTTTGTGCCAGTGAGGTTCACTATCGCGGGGCAGTATTGTATTGAGAGTTCTTGTCGAGGTATCGTTCCATGGCCTCTAGCATGTCAGGGGTGACCTTGGTTGTCTGAGGGCGCCACGAGGTTTATTTTCGACACGTCCAGACGAAACGATGCGGCAGGCAGTTGTCACAGGAATTCCGTTGTGTTTCGCCGCTAACAGCCAGTTGTCCCCCTCTTGGTGCGCGAGGAGAAGGCGGCGCTTCTCATCCACGGTTGGGCCATAACTCTTGGGCTTTGTCTGCTGAGCCTCAGCCATCTCGCTTCGGGAACAAATTGCACAATGTCGTATTCCCTGTCAATTCATGAGAGGCAAGCAAGGATCTCTGCGCGCGCAAGTGTCCCACCAATTTGAACCACATTGATTGGAATATAATCCACTTTGAATGGAACCAATCCATCCCTGACTTGTAATATTTTATAATTTTAATCCAACCCACTTTGGTTGGAAAAAACCACCAACTTGCTCGTGAAAAGGTATATTGTGCTGATTCGAAACTGCACCTCCTGTCGAATGAGTTGACAAGGAGAAAAAGGGCAGAGAAACAAGAATGCAGTCAATCTAAACTTAGGTCATTCTCATTGACCAATCAAAATCGTTAATACCACGAGCACTTCGTGTGAATGGATGGCTTCTCGGGGTTGACTCACTATTGTCTTCTTACACTTGAATCCAAGACGACATTGTCGAAGTAGACTTGCGAAAGAACCTCACGACTTCAGCTCACCTCGTGCTGAGGTAGTAATACGCATACAAGGCACACACCGCTGGCGGCTGTCGTGAGATATAGCCATGATAGCGAGCTCGATATCCTTCGGTGATCGCGCAGCGACTTGTTCGGATATGCCTAATATGGAAACCTTTGCTTGCTGATAATAGTCAAATATATTATACTTTCATGGAAATATTCAGTACGAGAGCGATGTGCTTTGAATTTCCAAGATACTTAGGCCAACATGGCACCGGCACGAGGTGAGAGCTGACCTGTGTCCACACGGGCTACAGTAAGCGACGGGAAAACGTCCCCAGTGGTACTAGAGAAATATCTCGAAGTTTGTATACGGAATAAAATTACCCTCGCGAGAATTGACAATATTTTTATTCAAGCTGTTTTTGAATTGAATGCGTTTTTCAGCTGCAGACACAACCGGCTTTTCGTGAAGCCACTTGTAACGAAGCTTGCTGTTCAATGGCCTCATGACACCAACATCCAAGGGTTGAAGAACACATTGTCGAGTTCTTGGGCAATGGTTCCAAATTGCTAAACAATTCAGACGGCACCATATCATGCGACGCCACAGACACATGACAGTCAAGATTTTCAGCCAAAATCACAGTAGGCCCATCAATTTCGAACTTTAGCAGCTCAGTCAGATACAGTTTCCAGACTCTTGTATCCATCCACGTTTTCTCTTGCACGACGTATACATGACCAAGTGGAAATGTCGGCACTTCCAAGGTATCGATCGGCCCACCTGGCTCGACCTTTAGGATGAAAAGTATTGGTAGCTTTTCACCATTGGAACGCACGGAGAGTACGGCTGTAATCTGTCGGAGTGCTCTTGGCTCTTGTCAATCTTGGACGAACCTCCAACTTTGGCTAGAGTCTTTGTCGGGGGCATGCCGTAGTAAACAGATGTTTCATTCACGTTGAAATGTCACGTGGAGCAGTGTCACAAAAGTTGTCCCAACATGCAGCAGGTTTGTGAAGCACAGTACTTGTGCGAAAACCGGTAGCGGGCTGAGAATCGTTGACACAGTCGAAGCAGGCTGTGATAAGTTCGACTTTCGGATTTCTTCGTAGTCAAGTATTCTTCAAGCCAATCTATGTGGTGGTTTTTCATGAATGTGATCAGGTGACTTTGTATCAGGCAGTGCTCC